TATGTAAAAAATTCGAAATTCTTTTAAAAAATTTCCGTAAAAGCGAAACTTTACCGAAGTAATTATAAAATTATGAGAGTACACTTTTAGCTTTTAGAAACTATGTATTTACAATCTTAGAATGTATAATCACAGAGAACTGCAATACCAGCATAATTCTATTTTCAAATCTGTATCCAAAGTGTTGCCAATTACAAGTTACTAAATATTAAATGTTACCATTTACAAATTATTAAATATTACATCTTCCGTTTTTTTAAAGAGTTCAAAAGTTTTAACAGTCTAAAATCAGTCCAAATACCTGGCCGGCTTTCTAATCTGTCTCCCACTTCTAGTTCTTAGCTCACCGTTCCTTGTTTCTGAGTTAGCAGAGTTTGGTAGTTGATCTTCTAAACTTTGCCCTTGAGAATATCTGGAATCATATCCTTTTACATCTGTTTTCTGTGTATTAACTCCTTGTTCTGTTCCTCTGATATTCTCATCAACAGCTGAACTGTTTTCTCTAATATTTTTTCTATTTCTTCTTAATACTGATCCACCTGATCTAAATATATATGATCTAGGTGTCTTATGCACTTCTTCTACAACTGCTGGTTTCCAGCGATTATCTTGATATACCCGAACACAATCTTCTTTATTTAGCAATGGTAATGTTTTTGTATGACGATAATAATATGACTTCTGTTTAGTTCTTTCTTGGTTGATTTTTTCTTTTACATTTCTCACAACTTGAGGTTTAAGTAATTCTTCAGATGTAGGAAGAATCGTTCTTGTTCTTCTACTCATAAGTTGTTGAGCTGGTGATCCTAGCATCTCATTTGTTGGAGTGTTCCTATGAGCTAACAAAGCTAAATAAGGATCAGCATGATCTGCTTGAGCTTTCTTTAACAATTTCTTCGCCGTTTGTACTGAACGCTCTGCTAATCCGTTCGACTGTGGATGGTATGGACTGCTTTTTATATGTTTAAATTGGTATTTCTTTGCAAATTCTGAAAATTCTTTACTTGCAAACTGAGGTCCATTATTAGATATCACTATCAATGGTATACCGTATCTTGCAAAAAATGAGATTTCATGTAACTGATCACTGTCTGACTTCGAGTATCCGGTAGTTTGGAGATTTCAAAAAAGTTGGAATAGTAATCTACAATTAATAAATATACATCTTTGTTAATCTCAAATAATCTGTCGCAACTTTATACCAAGGTAAATTGGGAATTTCATGTGGTATCATAGGCTCTCTTATGTTTTTTGTTCTGGTATTCATTACATATAGAACATTTTGAAATTTTATCTTCTATCTGCTTGTTCATAAGTGGCCAAAACAAAACATCTCTAGCTCTTTTCTTACATTTTTTCTATACCAAAATAACCCTCATGAAATTAAATTTAACATTTCCTTTTGCATAGATAAAGGAATAATTACCCTTTCCTCCTTTGAAAAATAAGTCATTTTCCATTGTCAACTCATCTCTGTAGTCCCAAAATACTTTGACTTGAGGTTCTACCTGATGTTTCCTTTCTGGCCAGCCTCTCAGAATATATTTCTTTAAGCACTGTAGTGTAGCATCACATTCACTTTCTTTCTTCAATGCATAAATTTTGCCATCAGATGCTGGAATCAGTGTACAAATTTCTGTATCTTCATCATTATCTTCTTCTGCTGTATTCAAATATGCTCTACTCAAAGTGTCTGCTATTAATAAGTCTTTCCCCTTTTTGTATCGTACATACATCTAGATCATATTTTTGTAAATTTAACAGCATTCTTTGCAATCGCTGTGGTGCTTTAAAAAGAGGTTTCTTAGTTATGCTTTCTAATGGTCGATGATCAGTTTCAACTGTAATACGTTTGCCATATATATATTGATATTAATGAAATTTAGAACATCCAAAAGTAATAGCTAAAAGCTCTTTTTCTATCTGAGCATAATTTTTTTGACTTTTTGTTAGAGTTCTGGAAGCATAAACAATTGGTTGGTTTTCTTGTAGTAAAACAGCACCTAATCCTTCATAACTTGCATCTACTGAAAGAATAACATCCTTATTAACATCATAGAATTTTAATACGGGTGCTTTTGCAATCAATTCTTTAAGTGTTTCAAAAGCTTTTTGATGCTTTTCAGTCCAGTGCCAGAGGACATTTTTCTCAAGTAACTGTCTTAATGGTGCAGTAATAGTAAAGTTAGGAATAAATTTGGCTAAATAATTAATCATTCCCAAAAATCTTTGTAGCGAAGGCACATCTGTAGGTTCTGGCATTTTAACAATTGCTTCCACTTTAGAAAAATCAGGTTTTAGTCCATTTTCACTTAACTCGTGCCCCATATAATTCACACGATTAACTTTTATTTTACATTTAGCCTTATTGAACTTCAAATTATTTTCTCGTGCTCTTTGGAGTACTTTTTTTAAGTCGTAGCTCATGTTCCTTTTCATTAGATATCCCCATATTAAGATATCATCTATAATACATTCAACGCCTTCTAGACCTTCTATTATTTGGCTTAATTTTCTTTGGCAAATTTCTGGAGCTGAACATATGCCAAAAGGTAATCTTTTAAATTTGTATCTGCCAAAAGGTGTATTGAATGTACACAAATTACTACTTTCTTCGTCAAGCTGGATTTGCCAAAAAGTACTATTAGCATCTAAAACAGAAAATATTTTTGCGTTAGGCATCCTAGTGACAACTTCGTCAATGGTTAACATCGTTAATGTTCTCGTTTTATAGCTTTATTTAAATCTCTAGGATCTGAACATATATTCTTATTTTGTTCGGTTTGACAACTGTGACCATTGAATTTACCCATTCAGTTGGTTCTCTTACTTTCTCAATAACATTTAAATTTTCCATTCTTTGTAATTCTTTCTTAACTTTATCACGTATAGCTATGGGTATTTTTCTTGGAGGATGAATGACTGGTGTTACATCTTGTTTTAACTGGATTTTATATTCTCTATTCAAACAACCTAAGCCTTCAAATACATCTTTGTATTCCTCCAGTAAGTCTTCAGTGTAAACAGACATTACTTTCTGAATCAAACCTAGTTGCAAACATGATTTTAATCCTAATATAGAAGGTACTTCTTTGTCAATAACTTGGAATTCCACAACATAATTATTTTTTCCATATTGGCAGTTAAGTACTACTTTTCCTAAAGTATCCATTTTATTCCCAGAGAATGTAACTAATCTTTTAATTTCAGACTTCTGTATCGGAACATTTAGCAATTTCACTTTGGTTTTTAGAAATAACATTGCACATTGCTCCAGTATCTAACTGCAAATTTAGTTTACTTTTATTTACATTAACGTCAACAGTCCATTTCTCTTCCTTGTTATCTGAATTAAGGTTTAATGTGCCAACATAAAATTCTAACTCTTCCTCAGAGTCATGATTTATTAATTTAATTTGTCTATCTTTTTTGTTTACCTTGACTGCTTCATTTTTTATTATATTGCTTTTACACTGACTCGCGAAATGATTTGCCTTTTTACATTTATGACAGATTTTTCCATATGCTGGACACATTCGATACTCATGAGATGTTCCACATTTAGAACAAATTTTTGTCTTTTGTTTATCGGTATTTACCTCTTTGTAGGTATTCTTATTATGTTTAATTAGCTTCTTTTTCACTAAGTTTACAGCATTGTCCTCATCTTTTATGATTTTCATTTGATGTGCACTTACTTCAGCAGATCTGCATATATCAAGAGCTTTTTCTAATGTTAATTCTGTTTCATGTAACAATCTTGCTCTCACTATATCATCTTTAATACCACAACCAATTTTATCCTTTATTAAACTATCCGTTAATTGTACAAACTCGCATGTTCCAGCTTTATTTCGAAGGTCAGTTACGTATTCATCTATGGTTTCTGACGCGGTTTGATTGCTAGTAAAGAATAAATGTCTTTCATATGTAATATTTTTCTTAGGAATACAATATTCCGTAAATTTTGTTTTAATTTCACTTAATTTAATTTCTTTACCCCGTTCTATAGGAAATGTATTATATATTTCAAGACCACGAATTCCTATTACATGAAGAAAAGTATTAACTCTTACCTTCTCTTCTTTATTATGTAATCCACCAGCTACTTCATATATTTCAAATGATTGCAGCCATCTCTGCCAATTCGAAGCCTGATTTCCATCAAATTTCATCGGCTCTTGTGGTTTTAAACTTTCCATTTTGAAAGCAAAACACTCCTGACACCATATAAAATTATGAGGGTACACTTTTAGCTTTTAGAAACTATGTATTTACAATCTTAGAATGTATAATCACAGAGAACTGCAATACCAGCATAGTTCTATTTTCAAATCTGTATCCAAAGTGTTGCCAATTACAAGTTACTAAATATTAAATGTTACCATTTACAGATTATTAAATATTACAGTAATCATCAAGGTTTTTAGAGTTTGAGAAGTGTCATATTTAGTTTTACTGAAGAATGCTCTTTTTGTAATTGTTCCAAGTGTAATACATTTCTATATTTTTAAATTTCGCCTTACAAATTGTATGAAATACCCCATTGGAAAGATTTCGTGATGCTCTTAAATTAAGTGTATAGTGAATGTTTCATTAGGTAATTATTTACAAATTAAGCACTCTTCTCAAACTATCCCGGTGTTTCCTCTTCGCGAAAGACCGATGTGAAATTAAAGACATTAACTTGAGTTTATTTCCTTAGAGATCGCTTCTCAATCGATCTCAAAAACTGTGTTTTATAATAAGTATGAATAAAGCTTAAGCTTTAATTAGTTTTGCATATGCGGATTCATTGGATTATTCTCGAGTTCAACTTAAGCAGTTCTATAATATTCACAATCGTAAATACTGTCAGTGTTTCTTAAAGACAAAATGTATTGTTGAAAATTCTCATTTGCAAAAGATATACAAATCAAAAGCCAGAGTAGAAAACTCATGTCACCAAGTAGCAGACGATACGATTTTTTTTTTTTTTTTTTTTCTTATTTTCTGCGGTCAAGCGCGATTTTTATCCTGTTGCTCAGCTGTTGACATTGCTCGCAGCTTTCTGCTATCGCGTTGTTTTAGCGATATGAGGGGTGTTTTGCATTTGCTTGTACAAAAAAACTTCTTGTTTATATTTATCAATATTTAATGAATTCACATAGTACATTCCAATATCTTTTACAATATATTGGAATATAAATTACAATATAAGTAAGCGGTTTTACGTTCAGAGACAATTTCTTTTCCAAAAAATTAAAGATGGTTATTGACCGGCTTGGAGATTTGAAAGCAGTAAGTTATATAGTATCAAATTTTACTATAGTTCCGTAAAAAATTTAAGAAATCCAGTGATAGTATTAATAAAGTTTTAAAACTGTAGCATTTTTATCTAATGTCATGCCTATATACATATTTTACTATTTTGTTGATTTTTCCTCTGAATAATCAGTTTGCTAAAATTTCTTTTATTACATTTTCGCCTATCTTTCAAAGAAAATTTTTCTTTGAAGACATCCTTTTTTACTTTTATTTTGAAGTTTTTACCCTTTAAAAATTGTTGTACTGGTCCTTTATATAATATAGCATCTATGTTTATGTAGTGAACAAGCACGGAAAGAAATATAACTTCAAAGTTGTGTTGCATAGAAAAAAGGTTTTATGAAAGTTTTAATTAATATAAAGGCGAAAAAAATTTAATCTATAGTCTCATTAAATTTACCTGTTCTCTATGTGAATATGTTGTGAAATTAACAGAAATTATTATATTAATTAAGATGGCTGTTTATTTTTCCAAGTTAGAGAAAATATTTAGTGTCTTATTGAACATTTTATATACCTTTTTGATAATTTTGCTATTTAAAAACTTTTATCGCTTAAGCTGACAGTATTTTGCGTGATTGGAATGTAATTTAAAATGTGAAGTTATGCACTGTAGACTATTTACACAATCAGTATTTGGACAAATAAATTTTATATGATACAAGAAAGTGGCAAAATTATATAAGTAAACTTCATTATAGATTAATGAAACAAATTTACTTTATATCTATTTATTTTTATTATGTTCTACATATTTATAATTTAGCTAGCAATTATTGTTTTGTTGTTAACAGTTCACTAAATGCAAATTATTTGAATGTACCAGATTTATCTCTCTATTATTTAATTTTTTGCATGCACCCAGAAGCTGCTACACAATTTAAGAAGTTAATTGAAAAAGTATTGCAGGATCTACGAGATCGTTGTACATATAATATACTAGCTACTACTAAATGTGATATTGTTTAAATCTGTAATTTTTGCAAGTGTCAAATTTTTATATTTTTCTTATCTAAAGATGATGAATTTGTCTTTTTGAAATGTTAAAATATTCATTTTCAGGTTTTGAAGGATAACTATGAAGCTTCTAATGAAATTACAATTAACATGGATTACACAGATTCATACCTTTCGGAATTTTTTATGGAGGTAATGTTCGTATATCAGAATTTATGGTATTACAAAAATTTATGTATTTTTTCGTTGCAAGATAGTCTAAAAGCATAATGTGACTTATCATGATGATAATGATAATCTATAAAGCAAACATTTAAGATTATAAGCTGTACATATTTTAAGACAGTAAAACAATATGCTCTTGATTTTCAGATATAAAAAAATACTAGAATACTAAAAAAAAAAAAAAAAAGGGAAAATCAAAAATGAAATGGAGAGTATGTAATAAATGTATTGTAATCTTTTATAATCTGTGGGAATGAGAATATTGTGCATGTTCCATATTCATTTTATATCCTAAAGCACAATCATTAAGAACTATGTACATTTATTTATAATAATTATATCTTATTTTAAGACAAATATAACAATTAAACTGTAATGTCTTGCCAGGATAATGCATTTTGTATTATCAACTGAGTACAGTTAACAAATATCTAACATCTCCTCTTTTATGATGAGGGAAATCAGGAAGTAAAATTGTTTAAACAAGAATGGTTTACAATTCTGGCACTCCTTGTTATGTAAGCAGTTTCCTTGTTACTTGAGCCTTACTGAATCCACTCTTGTGAACCTTGATTAGTATCTTTTGAACTATGTATACTTCTCTGTGTTAGCCATTATAAGATAATTCTGTGGCATAATATCTAGAATAATTTACGTGTGGGTTTTTATGGATACTCTCTGATTATCTGCACACTTCAGCAACTCATTCGCAGTCACAAGTCAGCAACTCATTCACAACTTTAGAATCGGCAAAAAACTTTTTCTTGGCCATTCTTATGACTTGTAGATACTATTCTATAAAAGGAAGCATTTCATAAACAACAAAAAATTTTGTAAGGGAAAGAAAAAGGAGATCTACATAGCCAGTATTTACATTTTAACAGCTGGTGGATGTTGTTCAGTGGCCAAATATTTATGTGTGTGGTATGCAAATGCATGGATTGGCTGTTATCACATGTATGCTTTCAAAAACGTGCCAATTCTACTTGGATTGAAAATGCGAATAGGGATAGTTAGAGAGTACCTTTTTATATTTTCTAATATCTACATGCCTTTAAAACATGCCAGTTGGACTGTATGTTAGATCTGTAGGTTGGGATAATCATAAAGTATCTTTTTATATTTTCTAATAATATGTGTAGTTTCTTTCCCATAAGTAGGGCATTCTCTATTCTTATGTTTCATACACTGAAAGAATCAAACTACAATCTGTTATTTGTGGAACAATATTTTATATACTCAGTGGTGTAGCGAGGGGGGGCAAGGGGGTGTATGATGCGGGCGCCAAATGGTCCCCAAACAAGATTTTCAGAAATTTTCAGTTTTTATTTCGATCGATTTCTGGAAAATATATTTAAAATTAATAATTATTGTAATATAATTAATTATTTATTTTCTTGGTTTGTCTGAAAATGTGTAACAAAATGTTGCAATACATCAACCAAATATCTCCGCATACAAAACGTTCTTTCTGACAGTATAGCTCCCGCTTTTTAATTTAAAACGGTAACACGACCTTGTCCCGAATTTCTCAAACATATCCAGTTTCCAAAAACGATTCCATAGTCTGCAAATGACATTTTCAGAAACTCCTAACACTTCTGCTACAATGGATTTCGTTTGACTCTCCTATAAATGATTGATGGCATTCCTGACTACCGATTCAACTAAGTCATCTTTCTGTGACATCATATATTCACTGCTACAAAGCATTCAACGCGTGTCAATTGTTTTTAATCTACTACGAAGGAATGCTGCAGGTCACTCCTTACTCCTTTACTAATACACATAGTTTTCGACATAAAAGACTAAATTTGCATATTTTGTAAAGGTTATAATTTTCGTGTATAATCTCTTCTATTTCTTTTTGTTAAAATGTTTGTCAATTATATGGTTATTTCATACCGAACTCACACTATCCCCTAATTTCTTTGAGCAGTGAATGTGACCGCACGATATTACTCTGCAGTAGAAAAGAAATTGAATTTAAAACTCCATTACAGATCTATGGAGAAAATGTTTTTCCAAACCTAAGAGTCGCACTTCAAATACTCCTTACCATTTCATTATCAAATGCTAGCTATGTACGTTCGTTCAGAATTAAATAAATTTGACTTTTATAGTCAACGGTGGGACAAGATCCCTTATGTCATCTAGCATTTTTAAATGTGGAAAGATAAAATTTGAAATGAGACTTTGATGAGTATGATAAATTTCCTTCATCTAAGGCAGAAAAATGTATACATAGTATTAATTGTATTATATTATATAATATTATATATTATTAATAAATATATCTACTTATCTGTAATATATAATTAAACTTTTAATTGTTTAAAATTGTATTTTTTAAACAATTATATAAATATGTAAAATAAATAATACCTTTTTAACTAATTTCAGATCATCGTATGTTTGATTTTTCAGCCGACACAGAGAAAACATTTCGAATCCAGTGCTAGTGTAGTTAGGTAGTGACTATACTTAACATGTTTTAGAGTATTTTTATGGCAGATTCAGCATTTTATTACTATTTGCATTATTTTCTTATTACGAATATATTCTATGCATTATATTGCTGTGTTTTTTTTTTGGGGAGGAGGAGCTAGAAACATATTTTGCCCCGGGCGCCAGTTATGCTCGCTACGCCATTGTATATACTGTTATTAACTCCTTGGCGAAAATTGGCGAATTTTATGCCGCTATTTCTTTTTATGTCCAACACCTTCCCCAGTAAAATAGCATCCAAGACATAATGCAATAAAAGATAATTAAAACAAAAAATATATAATCTCACTAAACTGCATTTTAAATCAAACAAGGAAACAACATAAGAAGGGAAATACTTGTTATCTAATCTAGGTGGTACAAAAAGGAAATATCGACTTCTTTAAAAATTTATGTTTCTTTGATATATGTGGCACACAGAATTCCTTAACAGCATCTAAAATCTATTTAAAATTATCTAAACTAGAATCTGTATACTGCCATTGCCACATTAATTCACAAAAGTAAAAATGAAAATATCCTCCATGCTGCCAGTGGCATTTCTTTCGAAAATCCTTTTTTATTACACCCCACATACATTCCATAGTGTTGATATGAGCTCGAGTTTCGAAATCCTTAAATCTCGTTACATAATTTACCGAGAGATGAGCCATTTAAATCTTCATTTGCACATCAGTTGATCAGTGTTTTCTTTCCCAATCGTTCCAAAGTGTACTGGTTAATTGAACCACCAGCAGGCATTTTATGGTGTAAAGCACAAAATAAGCAACATACTTTCTAACCAACATCCATACCTTACAAATATTTTCCCATCAGTCAAAATCGCACATTACAACCAATCGCATCATAATAGTGTTTCCAATACATTCAACTACTCAGGTTAGTGAAACAACAATTTGGTGATAATCCAAGGGGTACCCTAAAATACAGACTAACTTACAGAACTGTTAAAAATGAACTGATAAGAATGTAAGAAAAAACGGCTGTACCTGTGTAAAAGCATGTGAGAATTTATATTTGTTTATGGAAATGTGCCATGTTATCTTCAAAGTGTGGAAAACGAAGAATTTGCAAGAATCTGTCTCTATGCATAGTTTTCTGTAAAAGAGGTGTTTCAAGCATTTCTTCTGTCGACCAATAATCTTTTATCTTGTCTTTTTAAATATGCCCCTTCAGAAATGTCAGTGCCAAAAAAATTAGCAATTCATTTTTATTAACATCCTTCCATGTAACTGTGTTCTTTTTTGTGTCTAATTCAGGGTTAAAACTGGAAATTTCACCTTAGTATTTGTTCTGCAAACTGATTTGTTTCTTTGAAAATTTTTTCAATAATTTTTACCAGGAAAGATTTTTGAAAAATTCAAATCCTTTTATATTGTTTTAGCCAATAAAATTCAAAACATTACCTTGTCGTCTGGTTTTGGTTCAAGTGATTCAAATTTCAAATCTAGAGAGACTTTGTCCACATTATCAGTTTGTTCATCACTGTAAATTACCAAATCAGTCAATAAATATGAAGTTCGGGTTGATCTTTACATTATGGTAACTTGGCGATTTTTTGGCGAAAATTTGGCAACCAATTCTCTACAGCAACCCTCTTTTTTTCCCCGCCGCCATTTTGTCTCAGAAGGAAAGACATGTTTTTTCTTTATCTACTGAACACTTCTTCCACAATAGTAGCCGAATTACACTTATGCTAGAATTTTATCAACAAACTATTATCATGACAATATTCCTGCAAAATGGGAAAAAGTGCACAATCCATATCCTTACGCTTTTGCAAATAAAACATAACATATCCATGTACACGGCGGATATTTTTACTTAAAAAAAATCCCAGAAGCACAAAAAGGCATGCACACTCTTCACATATCCAGTACTCTTTTTTCTCTTTTAAATTAGAAAATTTTACGAAAATACCTGAAATTTCTCATCTTTAACTGGTAAAAGACATATATGAAATCCTGATAGCGAAAAGTATTTACCTTACAATATGAACTTCCACAATAAAATAAATAAATATCAAAACTTTTCCTCTAAATCATCTATGACTATTCACGTCACCAACGAATTCATACCGCAAGCATTACAAATACTTACTATCACTATTAAATTATTCAATCAAGTTTATTTCAACTTAACTATACAATTCTACAAACATAAATCACAAATACATCATTATTAAAATATCACTAAACCATGTCACGTCGACTTATTTTTACTAAAAAAACATCCCAGATTGCACAAAAATGCTTGGCACACTCTTCACTATACCATGTACCTGCTTTTTTCTCATAATTAGAAAATTCACAAAATCATTACCTTTTCTCATCTTTAAACCGGTAAAAAGAACAATATAAAATTACCTGAGCGCGAAAAAGTTTTACCCTTTCAAAAGACATTCCGATATAAATAAATAAATATCCAAAAAACTTTTACCTTAAAGCATTATTTTATACACGTCACCAACGATTCATACCGCAAGCATACAAATATTCTATCAAATTTTAATTATTTCCATGCACGTTATTTCAACTTAAACGGATACCAATTCTACACATAAAATTCACAAAAAACTATCATCTTAATTAAATTATTAAATCAAACCTACTTAAAAATTAATGAGCAATACATTAAATTCTAAAAATTACGACATCCTCTTACTAACTAAATATTGCTAATAACAATTTTCCCAATATACCAAATTCCTTTCCACCTTATTTAGACAATCATAAAATAATATCCTCAATAATTAAAAATACTAACTTACCTATTCTCGAATCTGATTACGTGGCGTTACACTTTTCTAATTCATTCAATAAATTATTGAAAGATTTTTCTGCGAATTTTTCCCCATTTTCCTCGCTAAAAAAAGCAAAAACTTCTCTTACCACAATGCCTAACTACCATTCGAATTCACTTTAGTAGGGCCATGGGTCAAAAATGAAACAACTGTTTCACACAACACAGAGAAGCTAATACAAATTTCCACATTTTTTCTGATCCCCCTTTCCGATTAAAGAACCGAATTCGTCCATTATATCAATGACAATCATATCTATCATTTCCTCACAAAATAATGCTATCGGAACTGATCTGTCAATTTTACAATCCGGTAGTAACCTTATCGCTCAAAATGTCCCAAACTCCAGTTACCATATGTAAAGATCAACCAAAGTTCCTTCCAAATCCTCATGTTAACTTTCAGATCCATTTTCTATATCCAACTTGCAATCGGATTTGCTATATCCGTAATCGGGCGTAGCTAGAGGGGGGCATCTGTACTCGAGCACAGAATCCAAGGGGCGCCAAACTGATGTTACGATATTTTAGAATTAAATGTTTTCCATTCTTGGCAAGCAGTAGGGGGCACAAAATCTTCAGTTGTCCCTGGGCGCTAAAAACCCTAGCTACGACTCTGTCCGTAGTTTTCATCATCAAGCTCTTGAAGATGTTTCTGAAAGTCTTCTTCAATCAGTCCTCTTTTCCCTTCCAGCATATTGCTACAAAAATTCAGAATAATTCCTAGAAAACTTACAAAAATATGCAATATTGTAAAGCAATGCAAAGCTCTGTTTATAATTTATAAATGCAGTTATCACGAAATCTGTAGCTACAAGAATGAAAAGTGAAAAATTTGAGAATCCGGATGCTTAACACAAAGACCTTTGAAAGAGATAAGTGGTTAAAACACCAGGGGCATTAAATTTGACATTTCATCCCACACTTTATGCCTGGAAAATAGCGAAAAAAGACATGGCCACTAATGTGGACAATTCCGTCCTTTCAAACAGGTCATTCTATGGCCATTATAATAGCCATCCTGTCCTCAAAGGGTTAATCAAAAACTCACAAATGCTTTACAAAATATGAAATAGATAATAAAACAAATTCCAAATTTGGGCTTCCAGATGTCCATATTTAGGCAGAGATGTACATTATTCAAAATTTGATGGCTCTAGGTACCATTGTTTTATCACAGTGCGAGAAACATAGATGCATTCATGCAGATTCTTTCTTATTTAATTTCTTTAAATATAACAAAGGTTGATAATATTTGGTGGCAGATTTGAAAAGCGATTCAGACTTTTACAGTTTTCGACGCAAAATACCAAAATAAAATTAATAGCTCTTCTGGGCTGACGTCCTTTCTACTAGAAATGATAATTATTTTTTCTTTCAGTAAAAAATTTTTTTTAGTTCTCTATACTCACAAAAACTAAAGGAAATGTGAGTTTTGTGTTTAAGTAGGTTTGTTTTGTGTTTGTAATGACTTCAAAATCTAAGTAATAAATCATTAGAAGTATGGTAGAATGTAAAAAATGTCAATATTTTCTGATTATCCTTTATTGAAAAGTACTGATGGTGTATCATGTCACTAAAAGGTATTGGCAACCTATGATGTTGTCAAAAAGTATTTTTGTAACAACATTATTTAGCAACTCAGGTATGCATGTAACTTAATTATATTTGAGTACACATGGATATGCACTTTTGGAATTCTGTTTTAGGTTTTCTGATTAGTATTTCTATTCATTGAATACAATTATATTCATCATAATGGTATTCTGGAATTTGCTGCCTTATTTTCATTACGTTGGGTTATGTATTAAAATTTTGGCTGTTCTAGGAAGATCATCTCCAGAGTGCATTGCTAAGGCTGTACAATTGTCTGATTTATTGTAGCAAAAACAGATCCCTGTATTCATAGAGAGAACACCAGAGCAAAAAATTACAAAAGATTTGTTGAATATTAGAATATAGGCAGCACTGAATGCATCATTGAAATAGTATACATAAAAATATCCAAATAAATGTTTCTCTTCAAAGCCATCAGTGAGTTTGTAACTGTTTGCCAAAATTCACAACGTGGCTAATTAGGAATTCTCTCTGGCTTTAAGAATTTCTTATGATGAATTTTTTTATTCTGTTTAACGACTTTTATTCTTAAAGTCATTTTTAAAATAAAATATTATAATAAAGAAAATAATTTGCGTATCTTTTTTAAAGTTATTAATATAAATTATTTTCAGGTGGAATCAATAACAAATAGCCTTGATAAAATTGTTGCTTCTGTTGAAGAACTAAAAAAGAAACACAATGCTATATTTTCATCACCAACACCAAACGAAAGTAAGATTTTATTTTGTGATTGTCTGTGCAGTATTGCTAGAATGATTCGTGGATTTAGAAGTAATGGAGTGACATACGCATCACCCTCTAAATAGTTGAAATTTTTCACAGTTAAGAGATTTTTTGCTCCACTTTTTTCATTGGCCTTGTCAGATTGCTATTTACATGTAACTAAGCACTTTTCGGTATTCTAAACAGGCCTTGCAAATTAACTTAAAGCTTTTGTTCAACGTGTTAAAATTTTTTTATAAACATATCACTTAAATTTTAGAAGTGTTAATTAATGGCTTGTAATAAGTATAAAATAAACTGCTAATAAATGGACTTTAAATTGTAATGATAGGCATAGGAATGTGATTTCAAAGCTTTTAGTTTTTTTTTAATTAATTTTTTTTATTATTAATGTGGATGGATATAGTGATGGTAGTAAAAATGAAATCATCCTATACATGAAATAATTAATACTTAGTAATAAAAACTATGTAACATAATAGTTTTCAGAAAATTCTGCTGTTAAATAATCAAGAGCAAAGTGGAAGAAATGTCTAATATATTTGATTAAAATCCTCTCTTGCTAAATAATAAAATGGCATTTTAGATAATTTTACATTTAAATACTGTAAGTAAATTAAGCTCTAAATAATTTTCTTATGACACTCTACTGTATAAATAATAGTATACACATGTCCCTTAAACTCTTACATACCTTATTTCACATTTTAATTAGTGAAAAGTTTGCTGAAGGTATTTTATTTAAGGTGTGTTAAATTAAGAATCAAGACTCATCATATGTTTTATTATAAAAAAATATCAAATGTGCATGGATAAAGCATCCAAAAAAAATTCTAAAGGAAAAAAGTTTGCTTGTAGTCCGGAGGTCTGGATTTTAGATCCTTCCGGATATTAGACATCCAAATCTTTGAACTGTACTTTCTATCAAAGAAATGTTTCAATAAGAAAATATTCAGCTAGTTATTTAAAATTTAAAATAATAATTTTCTAAAACTATGAAACTTAACTTTTAATGTGGTTTCATGGTTAGCATATTTTTTTAATTGAAAGTAAGAAGTATTATTTGAACTTTTATTTTATTTATTTTAAATTTTAGAAGTCAAACAAGAGTTGGAAAGTCTGATGGCTGATATCAAGAGATTATCTTCTTCAGTAAGACAAAAACTGAAGTGTAAGTTACATTGTTTTATATTGTAAGTTATAATTTTTATGCTTCTCTATGGTACTAATCAGGACCAGATTAAAAAATGTATGAATGTACATATGTGTGTATATACATTTGTACACACACACATACATTCATACTTGCATATATATATATGCATACATAAACACATACATACATACATAATTACATTTCTGAATCCGGTCCTGATAACAGAACAGTACCTTTTCTTTATTTTGTATTACAGTTTTCATGTTATTAAAATAAATATTAAGCAATAAATTAGTATGTTTAGTAAAAATTATGTTCCAAATGTTTCTGAATCTTAATTTGATTCTATTTTTGATTTGTATTAATTTAAAAAATTGTTTTAAAATTACATATCTAAAGAAAGATGAAAAAATGTTTTCATATGACGGCTGTGCAGGTGTATTTGTAAAGAATCTTATAATAGAGTGATAATATCTACATTTAAAAGAAAAACTAAAGTAAAAGATACACAGAGTGATTTAGAATGCTTGGCACGAACTTTAAGGAGTGGTGAAATGTACGGCAAAACACATTTTTTGTGCACTAATTTGTGAGTACTTTGAGGCACAAACACAAGTCATGAAAGGAAGCATAAATTGTATACTTGCAGCATTACTGATAAGTGTTTTTTTTTTAAACCAATGTTTCCAATTGTTGCTCAAAATTGCATCAACCAGTAATAATGTACAGCATTGATTGAAAGATTAACATAAAATTTCAAAGATGCTAGATATTTCTTTCATATGTTCTAAGGTATTTCTCCCGCCTTCTTACCATACCTTCGTAGTGTAGTGGTCTGCACGTGTATTCCAGAGGTCTGTGGTTCGATTCCTGGTGACAGCGTTGCTCATTTTTCACTACTACTGCTTCCCAAAAAGACCTAATGTCTTTACAGTGGCGCCCGAACTAAAAGGGTTGTGGATGATGATTCTGCACAGCCAGGATTTGGCGATTGGGTCCCCTAAAATCCCCAGTTGCCCTTTAAAAGGGGAAGTATATAAGGTATTTCTCCCACCTTCTTAGCATGCCTTCCGTAGTGTAGTGGTCTGCATGCTGGGTGCATATTCCAGTGGTCCGTAGTTCGATTTCCAGTGAAGGCATTGCTCACTTTTCATCTCTCCTGCCTTAAAAATAACCTAAGGACTCTACATTTTGAGTTCTAATGGCTATTCCACCAAGGAGGTCGTCAGCAGGATCATATGGATTCTTATAAACAAGGGCCTACAAATGTCACTATTAAAAGTAATCAATGCTTGATAAATCAGGTGATTAGGATTGCCAGTGGATTAGTTCATCGTTGTGTCTCAAAAGTTGTTCCATTTAGTTATACTAAAATGCAATGCTAAAATGGTCTGGTGTTCCATCATGTCTCAAAAGTCGTTCCATTTAGTTATACTAAAATGCAATGCTAAAATGGGCTGGTGTTCCATCATGTTGAAACACAGTTGATTATATATGGTATGTCCATCTGTAACATCTTGAAGTAGGTAACTATGTTGATATGTGCCCTTAAGTCGCCAAATTTCTCGCCAAACATTTTTGGCGAGAAACTCCATTCTGCCATATTATTACCTAAATTTTTTGTTTACATTTCGAACTTTAAAACCTAAAGTCTCCAAACGCAAAACCCACACATATGCAAAAACCACTTTGAACGCCATTAGCTAAAGATCCGAACAAAAAAAAATTAGGTAGCAAAACAAGTTTAACCAAAAATATTGAAAGAATCCATGTACACAGCAATATGTTTAATTAAAAAAAATCTACGAAGGCACAATCTAGGTACGAACAAATCTACGAACTATGCACACTGGCTTTAAGAAATAACTAAAACAATAAATTTCAAAGAATACCATGTCACAGCATCTGTTTAACTTAAAAAACATCTACGAATGCCATCTAGAACTAACGAATCTACTAACTGCGCACACCTCACTTAATAATTAACATACAACATAAATTTCAAAGAACCAGTACAAGCATTCTGTTTCAACTTTAAAAAACATCAGATTGCACATTAACACTCCACTATCAATAAAAGAACTAAATAAATTTCAACATCAAAAAAAACAATAACGACAGAATTCATACAAAAAAAATGAACATAACATTTTACAAAATAAGACAAGACTAATAAAAGGCATTACCTAATTAATGCTTTTTCGATAGCAGAATACCAATTAATACCGCCTTTAACATCCGCCTTGATCATTCTATTTTAGACAGCCAGACCACTTCAAAAAATCATACTATGGTTCACAAATAAATAAATCACATCCTACTTCTATATGACAGCCACTAAAAATCTCTCCCAGACCCTGGTTTCACACTCCAAATACCCTTGCCCTCAACAGGATGACCAGGATGCATTTCCTTTTGCCGAGCTTCAATTTAACAACTTCCACCATTTTATCTTTCCTCCCTAACATGACGCAAACCACGAGCTCCAACGAAAGATTTTTCAACGTCAACAGGGTTGCCATACAACCGCCATTACGCAAAACCACGCAGAACACATATCACCACATTTGGTGAAATTAGGGCATATATCAGAGTTGTTCCTGAAGCAGTTATTGTAGTAGTAGTTCTGGTACTTCAGTGAAATGGACTGATAACATATTTTGCTGAAACCGCAGTTGATTATGAATGGCATATATACTCAGAACATCTTGAAGCAGTTCTGGTAAAATTTGTTCTAGAAAAAGTATAGCATCTGCCATCAAGCCATGTTGATAGTACCAGAAAATCATTCACATTAGCTGCCCAAACATTCACAGAGAATCATTCTTGGCATGCCTATGAATGTGTAGTTTGCACATTTGGGGTTGTCCACACATGACAATTGTGTGCATTGAAATGTTTCTGTGTGTAAGAATCACCTCATTTGTAAATAACACATGGGCTAAATCTAGCTGCAATGCACTTTCAAAAACCATTAGTAGAATCCCAAGCTTAGAAGGTAATCTTCTATTTTCAAAGCTTGTGTTTTGTGATAATGAAATGATTGTAATCATTCTAGCTACATGCCATGAACTCTCATATTTATATTCTGTTCTCCAAAGATTCAAGAGGTGAAATCATTCTAACTACATGCCATGAACTCTCATATTTATATTCTGTTCTCCAAAGATTCAAGAGGAATTCATTCATATTTAGACATTGTACAGCTCTCAATCAGCCCTTTCTTGCTTGCTACTATCAAAGGAACAAATTCCATAAATTTGCTCAAGCATTTTATTTTTTAACATTCATCTGTTGGGAAAGGATTTCTGATGCATTTTTAGTACTGCTTTGTTATTACCATTTGCAGCTGCATTCACTAAATGTCTCAGCATTTATAAAGTTTCCACCGTGGGTGACGACACAGTCGCAAGTGATGTTTCCCTCTGCTGGCTATAATACAAGCCAATTATACCATTGAAGCTGGGAAGCATGTACTATTACTGTTAGTGTATGTAATTTTCTGCAATCATTTTAAACACTGCTGTAATAAAGCATTTGTCAGTGATGCATAAGTAAGCAATTTCTATTTCCTTTCATGTCTCATTTTTAGTGCATTGTCTCAACACTTCATTTGGTGCCAAAATCCTGTACAAAAAGTGTTTGTTGCATTTTCCTTTCCATCTCTAATGTTCACGTTTTGAGTTCTGAATCACCATGTAGAAGTAATGTTATCATTGTTTTGTTCAGAGCTGGTCATTATTAAATATATTGGTGTAATCTGTCATGATCTTTCCCAAAAAATTCAAGAATCAACTCCACCTAGTGGTTTAATTGAGAAGGGCTATGCTTTAATCTCTGCATCTAGTATATCTCACATGATAAGTTACAGCTTCTGTTCATAGGCCTACCATATCAAATATGATGTGGAAGTAAAGTGTCAGTGTATCATACTTGATATGCTGAACAGAGCATTTTACTTTAAATTTTAGTAGCCTATAAATACTGGGAAACTTAACTGGATAAAATATATTTTTTATTCTTAGAATTATTCATTATTTTAATTCTATAAGTATAAAACTTTTGAGGCTCACAGCATATTGTTGAGAGTTCAGAAATGTTTCACTCAGTGAAAGCAGTTTAAATGTTTGTATAATATAAGGGTAGCAATAGGATATAGTAGGCACTGACAGAGCCAGGATAAGGGTGAGGCAGTTGCCTCAGATGAGGTTAATGGTTAAGAAGGGGGCCAAAACAGATGCAAAATTTCAGAAATATATTTTAAAAAATAAATTATGAGTGTTAACTTTCAGTTCCGAAATGTGTCAAGAAACGCCTTATTTAAAGCAATAAAAATGGCTTTATACAGTATTTTTTCCCCTAGCTTTTTAGTGACTGGCTCTGAAGATTAAAAAATATTCACATAACTTTCCCCTTCTTCCATGTACTCAGAGAACTAGCTGCTCTAAGTTTTAAAATTGATTCATCCATATAATGATTATTTTCATCTTACTAAGATAAACCTTGCAAACTGCCCATTAAGGTGATGTTGAACCTTTCCTTTTTAGCTGTTGAATGTTATGTAGGCTTAACACAAGAACTGACCCATCATATCAAAGCAAACACAAACTGATACTCAGTCTGTGATTTTGCTAAGTTGGTCATTCCTTTTCTGTAATACATTGGTTATCATAAATTAAGGAAACATCACAAAAATCAC